TGTTTGGGGCTAGACATCTTGTCTCCTGCTCCCGCTATCCCTTCGGTGGGAGGTTAGGGTTTAGGGTTTAGGGTTTAGGTTTATTGCGCAGCGCTCAGTGCCTCTGCCTGAGGTTAAGGTTTAAGACTTAAGGTTTAAGGTTTAGGGTTTAGGGTTTAGGGTTTAGGGTTTAGGGTTTAAGGTGCCCTGCGAAGAGCCATCCCCTGCCGCTTTTCCTCACTATCTCCCCTGTCTCCTAAGCAGTAGCAACAGCAGCAGCAGCAGCAGCAGCAGCAGCAATAGCAGCGGCGGCAGCAGCAGCAGCAATAGCAGCAACCGCAGCAGCAGCAGCAGCAGCAAAAGTCCCTGTGGGGCCCCTCGTGCTGCCTTAGTACCAAGGGGGCCCCTATCTTGCCACATGCGGCGACGCAGCTTCGGGGGGCCCCCGGGGGCCCCCAGGCCGCCCCCGCTGCTGCTGCTGCTGCTGCTGCTGCTGCTGCTGTCTTGCCTTGTTTTTGGCAGCAGCTTTGCTGCTGATGCGGGGCCCCCTGGGCCGCTGCCAGGTAAGTGCACGCCGTCGCCTGCTGCTGCTGCTGCTGCTGCTGCTGCTGCTGCTGCTGCTGCTGTTTCTATTTCTGCTGCGAGTGCTGCCGCTGCTGCTTCTATTTCTGCTGCTGCTGCTGCTTCTGCTCTTCTGCTGCTGCTGCTGCTTCTGCTCGTCTGCTGCTGCTGCTGCTGCTGCTGCTGCTGCTTGCGGGCAAGGGCGGCGCGCAGCTGAGCAGAAGACGCCGAGGGCTCCCCTTGTCTTTGCTGCTGCTGCAGGAGACAGCAGCAGCAGCAGCAACAGCAGCAGCAGCAGCAGCAGCAACAACAACAGCAGCAGCGGAGCACCGCAGGCGTCGCCAGAAAGAGAACGAAAGCTAGCAGAAGCGCTGCAGCTGAAGTAAGCCGCTAAACCCTAAACCCTAAACCCTAAACCCTAAACCCTCAGCACTAGGCGCTACACCATGACCGCTAAGCCCTGAATTGTGAACACTGAAACGTCTTTGAAACCCTAAACCCTAAACCCTAAACCCTAAACTTCGCCAAGGCAGGGGCGGTTTAGTCCTTTTCTCCAGAGTTGCTGAATACTTCAGATAGCAAGGCTTTAGGCTTTAGGGTTTAGGGTTTAGCGTTTAGGGTTTAGGATTTAGGGTCTAGGGTTTAGGGTTTAGGATCTAGGGTTTAGGGTTTAGGGTTTAGGGTTTGGAGTGTGGGGTCTGTGCAGGTTTGGCGAAGGAGGAAAGCAGCGAGACCAGCACAAGGCCCAAGCCTTGCTGGAGGCTATAATTGTAAACCCTAAACCCTAAACCCTAGCCACTAGATCCTAAACCCTAAACCCTAAACCCTAGACTCGCTTCTGTAGAGGATAGGGAAGTAAGTCAGCGCCAGTTACTCTCCATGCAAAGTACCCTTCTTGGGGCCCCCCAGAGGCTCTTGGGGGCCCCCAGGGGCCCCCCCGAGGGCCCTTGGGGGCCCCCAGGGGCCCCCCAGAGGGCCCTATGGGGCCCCCAGGGGCCCCCCAGAGGGCCCTATGGGGCCCCCATAGGGCCCCCCAGGAGCCTTTAGTTGGGGCCCCCTGGGGGCCCCCAGTGCGGGGGCCCCTAGGGGCCCCTCCCCTAGGGGCCCCAAGGGTCTCTCCAGAGGGCTCTATGGGGCCCCCTAAGGCCCCCTTAAAGGGCCCCTGGGGCTTCTGGGGGGCCCCTTGGGGGCCCCCCAGAAGCTGCGGGAGGTGAGGGGCCCCTGGGCTCTCAAAAGGGTACCGGGGGGCCCCTTTAGGGGCCCCCAACGAAAGCCTCAGTGGGACTTGTGGGGGCCCCTGGGGGCCCCCACAAGCCCTAGGGGTGCCCCTGGGGGCCCCCCTAGGGGCCCCCTTGGGAGTCCTGAGAGGGTCCTGCGGGGGCCCCTGGGGGCCCCCTTGGGTTTCGGTGAAGAGCCACCGTTCTTATCCTTCACCGCGTTGCTGCTGCTGCTGCAGTTGCTGCTGCTGCTGCTGCTGCTGCTGTTGCTGCTGCTGCTGCTGCAGGAGGAGAATGGGACGGACTCAGTGGCGGCCCAGGCCCATTGCGAGCTGGGGGACTTGCAGCTTTCAGGTGAGCTGCAGCAGCTGCCCCCTGCAGCAGCAGCAGCTGCTGCTGCTGCTGCTGCTCTTGCAGCAGCTGCTCCTGCTGCTGCTGCCCTTGCAGCGGCTGCTGCTGCTGCTGCTGCTCCTGCAGCTGCTGCTGCTGCTCCTCCTCCTCCTGCAGCAGCTGCTTACGCTCGTGCCACTGCAGCAGCTGCTGCTGCTGCAACTGCTGCTGCCGGTGCTGCTGTCCCCGCTGCAGCTGCTGCCGTTCCTGCAGCAGCTGCTGCTATTCCTACAACAGCTGCTGCAGTCCCTCCAGCAGCTGCTGCTGTTCGTGCAGCAGGAGCTGCTGCTGCTGCTGCTTGTGTTTAGGCATCTCTGGGCTCTTCGGGGTCCGCCGCGATGCTGCTGCTGCTG